TTTTTTTTTTTTTTTTTTGAATGTGTTGTTAGATATTTGACATGAATAAATTTCAAACAAATCTTTCTCGAGAGACTCGAAGAGCATATCCAGATAGAAGAAGATTGGAAATGCAGTGTCTGAGTGCAATTGTTTTCGTCAGAACTGAACCAGATCTTCTTCAATGCCCTGTGTGGGTTCTAATTGTAAATGTTGTCGGATTAGATATGTTGAAATCCAAGTTACCACCAGGTGTAGTACTAAACTATACTACAGTTTGTTTTATCAATATAAAATTAGTAGTAATTTGAATTCAACGCGTACTCATATGTGTATATATACATTAGTTTTAGCGCTACAAAGGCCGGTGGATATTAAAAATCGACCTAGGATACCGATTCCTGATGAAGATCCTTATAGTATAGCAGGGGTTTCATCTTCAATTGGAGTTTCTGAACCGTTCCAACAGGATCGAGAAGCTCGAGAACAGATCTACGCTCAATCAACGAGTAGTAGACAAAGAAGAGCTGAAAGACCACCGAAACTACCACCGAGGGAAAATCTCTATAGTCATGACATACCCAAAGTAATTATATGTACAGTTTTTTTTATTCAATTGTTACCTTTTGATATTGCCTTAAAGTATAATAATATTTAATAACGTTATAATTCATTTCAGCCTGATTATGACGACATAGAAGATGATTATGCCAGAAAACCTGTCATAACAAATGAAGACAAGAGAAGTAGAAACGACGACAAGAAGAAATACGGTAAATAGTTGCTTAACAAATTATCTAAACATTTAAAAATTTATCATCACAAAAAAGTATAGTAATAATGACAAAAGAATTCTTTTTTTTTTTTTTTTTTTTTTTTGAAAAATTAATTACGTTCAAATACGTTTTCTCTTTGATAGACGATCCGTATTACTGCGGATTAAGAGCTCGTGTTCCTAACTTCGTAAAGATGGCGAAAAATAGCAAAGTTTCAACGAGAGGGTATGCTAGACCTCCTAATCAAGCACCAGCATATACTGCCACGGGATACGCTACTAGCCAATCTTCTCAAATTTATGGCCATCTACCTGGCAATCGACCACCAATTATGTATCATGCACGAAGTTTCGAAAGTGGACTTGGTATTATAACATACTTCTGGAAAATTTTTGTACTTTAATTCAATGTATTAGTTAATAGATTGAAAAATAAATAAATTTGTTACTTTTTTTATAGATTCGGATGGTAGAAACGAATCGCCATATAATCATATATATGGAAGGTTCCCTGTACCAACCAGAGGTGTAATTCCTCCTACACCTAGAGCAATGTATATTGGAGAGTGGGATTAAAAATAAAAGAAATTAACAAAAAAAAAAGAGTTAGCATATGAATAAGTATCAGTTTGAAAAGAAAATAAGACAATATCGTCATCAATGAACATAAAGGATATTGCATGAAATAATGAAAAACATGCATTCATTAAAAACAGAATAAAGTAAAGACTATATGCAAGAAATATAAATATAAATAAATAATTAGCAACATAAAGAGTTAAAATGAGAATGGAGAAGTAATGAAAAAAAGGAAGAACTAACCTTCCGTTTGTACCTATAAACTGTATATTGTTAATGTACTACTTGAAATACTCAAATTTTTATTGCAATAAAATTGTAGAACAATGCGAATTTTTATTTATAAACCTTTTGAAGAAGTATAAAGTTTTTCAGTTGAAAAGAGTAAAAATCATTTTAATGTAAAAAAAGAATGTAAAGATGTACAAAATTAATATAAAATTTGTATAGAATGCACAATTTATAGGATATGACAGGAGTTGACAGAAATACTTTTTTTATGTAGATAGAAAAAAATTCTTCGTTTTATGAAAAAGGTTTGATTTTTGTTTTTTTTTTCTCAAAGATTATACTAAAAATGATTTTATTGATTAATTTAATCATTTTTTTGCTATTATTTTGAAAACTTATTTGTTTAGTAACTCGTTTATTACACTATTGATTTTTTCTGCAGGAATTTTTGATTTTAATAAATTTATTGCATGATCAATAACAGCCTTTTCGTTTGTTTTTAAAATTTTTATAATTTCATCTACTGAGGAAATTTTCGATGTTTCAATCCAATATCCTTCAAGATATTTTAATAATTCTTCCATTGTTTCTTTGGAATCTTCTTCTTCTTCTTTCATTGCTAAGAATATTCACACAATTATAAACATTTATAAGCTCATTTATACATAATAAAATTATTTACCTGTGTTGATGCTAACTATAATTTTTAAAATCGTTGCATCTATATCAACTGTAGAATCTACCCTTAAAAATCCTTTCCATCGAAAATCGAGAATCATTTCTGCACATCTATGAACGCAGGAAGCTTTGGTTTCATCTAAAGGATAAAAATTCCATGGATCGATAAAACTTGATAAAATTCTTCGCAGAATTTCTACTGTTCTGCTTAAATTATCTTCTTGCAAAATTTCTTGATGAATTTGATGTCCCTTTCGAAGAATCGAAAATAATTCTAGCCAGTCTTCAAGATATTTCAAAGTCGAAGCAGAATAAGGTGCTTCCTCTTGAGGGAAAACTTCTTCAAACGATTCCAACATTCCTATAAATTTTAATTTTCTCACTTGTTTTCTATTTAAGATAAATTAAATAATTTTTTACTAAAATCATATTAAATTTGGCACCTGGCAGAAAACTGGAAGATTCAAATAGATCATCTAATAATGTTTTTCCAGATGGAAGATCGATCTCTGCCGAAGAACGTAAGAAACTTGTTGTTGTGATCAAAAGTTCCTCTGTAATAATTTATTTCAGTCAATAAATAAAAAATTCTACCTGTTTTAATTTCATTATGATTAACACTACAAAAGAGTATGTGGTTTATTGTAATACTTACCATTTGTGGAACTTTTTAAAATAAAAGGAACTACTTCTCTCAGAAAGGTTGAATTTCTTAAATTAGCTCTCCATTTTGATTCAGGATTGGTCTGAATATTCCAGAGTGCACAACGTAAAAGTCGAAGTATTTGTACTAACGTAGCAGTGTCTTCGGAAGAAAGGAGACGAAGAATTGTTTCAAGAAGTTCTTCTTTCTCTCCTAATATATCAAGTACTGATGGTTCGCAGGTCATATTTCCAATTATTCCCAAAATGATTTCCTATAAAGTATACAGAAATATTATAATAAAAAAGTAAACAACTATTGAAAAATAAGGTATAATTTGATTGAGACATTTAATCAAATTATTAAATTAAGATATTGAGAATTCTTTACTCATTGTCAGTGTAAAATATCAAAAAGAAATATAATTTCTCGATAGTTAAATGTTTAACATTTAAATTTCTGAGAATTTTCATAAGTTTAAAATTATATGTAAAATATGTTTAAGATACTTCAATGTATTAAAAGATATTAATTATTCAACTAAACATTGAGTTAGCATTTAATTATCAAATAGGTTCATGATCAAAAGTTTTCGATATATAGAAATGAATAGTTTACTATTTAGCAGCATTTTAGTTGCTTTAAATATAAAATCATTAAAATTTATAAATGCATAGAATTTAGAATACAGAATTGGAATTATGTGGAATAAAAAAATTAAGGACTACAAGTTCTAATATTGTAGAAATCATGGAACTCAGGAAATATTTTCTAAAGTTTTTATTGAATAAATAAAATACAGGCCCAAGAGATAAAATAATCTTAAAACAAATCATACCGTAAACCTTGGTTCTTCAGAGGAGTTCAAAGCAAGTTCTGCAGTCTTAAAAAAGTCATTATCCACAAGAAAGTTAACAATGTCTTTCTCTGTTGTCATATCCCACAGTGTGCATAAATCATTCTCCACTTTTTCATTCCAGCCATCCTCAGGAACCTTCAGAATTATAATTAAATTATCCAGTTACAAACAACAAATGTTAATGTGTGAGTAATTATACAACACAAAAATTAACTTTGACAAATCTTAATCTGCCATGTAAAACAAGTAAAATTTGCAAAGTTCATTATCAAGTTATTAAGCTCATTATTTCAATTCGATTTATTGTTTATTTAAAACGAAGAATTTACATGAAAAGACAAGAAATTAATGTGAGTTTGAAATAAATGTAACTCAATAACTACGATAGTTACCTTTGATATTGAAAGTAAAATACTAATTATCCATTTGCCACTGTATAGAGTATCTCCGACAATATCTCCTTTTAACTTTTCAATTTCATCCTCCGCGATTTCTTGCGTTTCTAATACTGCATTCGATTCTAATTTATCATTCTCAGATTCCTGAACTTCGCTCATTTTCCCTACTCACTAAATCACTATTCTTTCTAAACTATATTTAATTATTTTAATTTACTAACAATATAGTACCTAAGATACGCTTAGCGGAAAAATAATAATTTTATCACAAATCATTCACTTTCTAATTCTAACTTGGAAAAGTTTGTCGACATGAACGGAGACAACTTAACCTCTCTTCACACTTACTGTTACTTCAGCTACATTGCCCTTTATTTCAACGCATTCAATTGTACTTTATGAAACATCACTACATATTACAGCCACCGTCGTAAATTATAAATTGTAGATTTAGAATCATGTCGATAGCACAACACGAATTTCATCACAAATGACAGATTTAGGGTTTGACTTTTTCCAATAAGAGGATATTTAATTATTAACAATCGAATGATTCAACAAAGATTCATATTACAAAATCGTATGTAACACTCATTTTTTGCTGTTCTAACTATTTACGAATAATTTCGGTATATCAAATTCCGAATAGTCTGCTAGAGATCAAATCAAATTGAAACGGAGGTTTCGATCTATTGCGAGAAATTCGCAGATGTTCAAAAATGCGTTATAGGTCAAACATCGTACAGGAAGAAAGGATCTAATTCGAGAAATACAACTGTAAATGTTCACAAATTAATATTTCTAATTTTATAATATTTTTAAGTTTTTTTTTCCGAATGAATTTCGTTTCATGGATGTCGAAATACTAACGCTATAAATATTAACGCTAGCGGTCAAACAGCGGAACTAAAATCTATCACTATCCTTGTTATTCATTAGTGCACTGTTTGGCTCTCATATAATTCTGTCTTTATTATATACTACGATACTTTCTTTGTTTGAATGTAGGTACAATGATCGATAAATAATAAAGTCACCATATTACAAAGGAAAATTTTATAATTTATTTTAACGTTTACATGATACAGAAGTTAATGAATGAATTACGACTGATGAGTGTTTATTAATTTCTTATTTACTATTATATATATGTTCTT